AAACACAAGAAAATGTTCAAAGTTGACCACATATTTTGTTCAAATACATAGGTTAATCTATAGACTGTCACACACGTGAATGTGTTATTATTTAAAGAGTCAAATAATTTTCTTTGGTGAAAAAAATTCTTTAAATATAGTTTTCTTAAATTTGATTTAGTATTTTTATTTATTAAATATGTTTTCATATAGTACTTTTATATAAACTTAAATATATAAGATTTATTTTGAAAATTTTTCAAGAATTTACATCTGAATTCACACTGAAAATTAAGTACTTTGAATTTCGTGTTTAAAATCCCTTCACATAATTTGGCAAGGAGGGACTATTATTATTATTATTATTATTATTATTATTATTATTATTATTATTATTATTATTATTATTATTATAATAATAATAATAATAATAATAATAATAATAATAATAATAATAATAATAATTTGGCATTGTCCTTTGTACCATGCACACATATACTTGTGTTTTTGTTATAATAATTAAGGCTTATTCGATTAGAGTTTTGAAATAACTTGATATGTTACCAATGAAAATAGAATTTATATAACTCCTCATTGAATATAGTGTAAGCTTCTATGTCATCTTCAAGCTCCTAATAAGACGCTTAATTAATTATTTTTGAAGAATTAACCCAAATAGTCGTTCATCAAATCGTTTAAGCTAAAAATAGTCGGTGAAGGTATAATATATGCATAATTTATGTATAATTCTATATAATGAATGCATAATCTATGTATATGATTAGGAAAAGTAAATAATGAATATGACCTATTATTTATGTAAAGATCTTGAGAGTCCGTTAATTCATTGCATCACTATCAATATCGAAGGGACAATTCTAACTTGACAATTACAAAATTTATACTTCTTTATTGCAGTTTCTCAAGTATTTTTATGATTAGGTATTGGTTTGGATTCTTTTAACTTGTCTTTTTCCTTTTATATCTATTTGTGTACACACTTTTTTAGCATATTGTTTTGTTAGTAGTCTCACATTGGCGGATAAGATGATTTGACTTCTTATATGATCTTGAATAATTATCGCTTCTTGAGCTAGATTTTTTGGTTGAATTAAGTTCAAGGTTCATTATCTGAGCCAAACCCACCTTATTTAATGTTTCATCCTATGTTTGACCTCCATATTATCTTGTTCATGCTTCAGTTATCCAGCTTAGGCCTGCGGGTGTTAGTAGTCTGACACCGTTGGGTGGGATGATAATTTGTCTTCTTATATAGTCTTGGATAATTAAGGGTCTGTTTTGGCCATCAAAAAAATATTTTACCTTTTTTTGGAAAGATTTTATTTTTTTTTTATTCGAAATCAGTGTTTGGCCATGAAAATTTCAAATTTCACTTAAGTTGAATTTCGAAATTTTTCGAAAATTTGAAAAATTCCAAAAGATTGTTTTTCAAAATTGCCACTTTATATCACTCACAAAAATTCAAAAACAGCTCCAGATTTTATTCATGTCCAAACACAACTCGAATTTTCAAATACCATTTTCATAAAGAAATATTTTTTTCGAAATTTCACAATTCTTATGTCCAAATGCCCACTAAGTAATTCTTACATCTTGAATTGATTTTTGGAGTTGAGCTTGACCCAAAACTTATTTATTTTATCATGTTTCTGTTGTGATATTTTTAAAAGGTGGACAAATGTCTATCCATGTGGCAAGATGCATACAAGTAAAGTGGACAAATGTCTTACCCAAGAACATGTGGCAAGCCTTCTAAAAGGGAAGAGATAAATAGCAAGAAGCTTTTGAAAAGTGGCAAAATCCATCAGCCACCTTCTTGCCATGCACAACAAAATTTCATGCAAATGAGGCTATAAATAGCCATTTCCAATCACTCATTTTCATCATCAGCAAGACAAAAAGAAATTCTTCTTCTCTTTCCTTCTAATTTCATTATTCACCAACTTTCCTTTGTTGTCTTTCTTTTTGGTAGTTTAACTTCTCTTGTTCCCCTCTTTTAAATAGCTGGGTTTGTAATATTTGATTTTGCTGATTCCTGTATCCTCTAAATAAATAGAGATGTGCTTGTTTAATCCTGGGAAAATATTTCACATTGCTGAAATAGTTTCTTAGGACAGTGCCCAGCACGACTCAAGCCAATTCGTGTATCTACTTACAAATAATATTATTGGAGTATTATTATTGTTATTTTTTCCGTGTAATTTCCCTATAATCTAAGAAACTATGTCAAGTAATACTACTGCGAAAATTTTTGATGGTGCTACCAATTTTGGTGTTGTCTCTGCTGCACTGTTCCAGCTGTCCTGCCAGATATCCATGGTATTGCAAATACATTATTGCATCCACAACTTTGGCAGACACTAATGTCAAAATACAGGTATATAGATAGACATGGTTACATATCTAATGCTAATATTAAAACCTTCAAGAAAAATGCACCTCAATGCAAGAGAAGAGCTGAGATAAATGACAATCTCACTAAGTCAAAATTAAATTTGACTAAAGCGGATAATATAATTATTGCGGTCATTTTCCAAATAAATAATGTGGCCAATGTGAGAGATTGGGTGATAGACTCCGGTGCTACTAGGCACATATGTGCAAACAAAAATGAATTTTTGTCTTACACCCAAGTTGAGGAAGGAGAAGAAACTATTTATCTTGGTGACTCAAGTACAACTCGTATTTTTGGGAAAGGAAAAATTCTTCTCAAACTCACATCTGGTAAAACTCTAGCATTGAGTGATGTATTGCATGTTCCTAATATCCAAACCAATTTGGTTTCTGTGGGGTTATTAGAAAAAGTTGGATTGAAGGTTTCATTTGAAAATAATGAGGTCGTTTTGACCAAAAATGATATTTTTGTGGATGGATATTGTAACCATGGTTTATTTGTGCCTAATATTTCCGATACTAACAATAAAAATGCATCTTCTTCTGCTTATATGGTTGAGTCAATTTCGTTGTGGCATGCTAGACTAGGACATGTTAATATCGCGTATATAAAGAAAATGCAATCGCTAGGATTACTATCTAGTTTGGACTCAAATATTATTAACAAGTGTGAAATATGTGTTGAAGCTAAAAGTACTAGAAAGACT